ACGGACAACGGACAACGTTTAGGGGCTATTAATACAAAACCGGGATGACTTTCAATTTTGAGTTTACTCCATTCTTTATATATTTCTCTCTATATTTTTTTTACATGATACCAAAACGACATTTCATTTCCGTTCATTCCCTCCGGAATGAGTTCATTCAGGTTTTCAATCGGAATCAAATGCTCGTTCTTATGCCAATTTCATTCCAGTATCATGTAAACTGAAAACGAACTTTGTTCTGGATTGAAAATCAAACATCGTGTAATCCGGGGTGAATAGTGCATGAGTACCTGATCTGGCGCGAAAACCACATGAGGGGGAACGCCTTAAGTTAAGCCGGTCTATTTAATCACGTTAATATAATTCGTCCTTCATTCCGGAAGGAAACTCATTCCGGAATGAAAGTAATTTGGGTATCCTATTAACATCCCCTTAAGACCGCTGGTCGGCGAAAGCACTCTCTCTTCTAGTCGAAATTCTCTCTCCTCGCCCGCGCACTTGCATATCCTTCCCACTCTAAGAATTCCGAGCAACATGAAACTGGCTCACAGTATAGGGCGTGACGTGTGACCAAGATGGCGGGTGGAGAGCTAAACGCGTGGAGAGTTTAACAGTACAGAATTTAAGAGTTTAACTGTCTCTCCTTGAACAGTTTTAAAAAAGAACATAAACCCTTTCTACTTGACAGTCAGGCATCTTGAACAACTCTAATCTGTTACTTAGCTCTATTTATTTAATTATTTGATTTAAATAGTTTTTTTTTATTAGTACTGTATAACCTCCACCCACTTGTAACCGCTCTGTGGTAGTAGCCAACTCGCAAGCTTTGTCTCTTTGGCTGCTACACACTCTTTTCCTTTGTTATGTTTAATTCAATGTATAGTTAGCTCTGTTTTTTACTTCTTTTTTTCCCTTATTGTTGTTGTATTGTAATTGAATAAGTGTGAATAAATGAACTTGAACTTGAGCGGGTGGGTAGTTAAACAAGATTTTCATCATTTTTTGTGTGGCCATTATTCATTTTTTTGGCCTTTTTATTCAGTCACCATGACTGAATCGTTCTGATTTTATTTAGTGGAGATTGAACGAATCCTCTGCCTCCCGCACTTTAGTAAGGTGAAAAACTTGCCCTTAAGGTTTTGTTTATTAAACTACTCAGTGATCAGGGTTATTCTTGATTTGCAACCACATGAAAAAGCGGCCATTTTGGTTAACAGTAGTACTAGTAGTTGACAGTAGTAATAGTATAGTATTGCTAGCAGTATCTTTTTTTTTTAAAAAAACGTTTTTTATTTATTTAACTTCGCCTAACTAGAATCTAAACAAATAAAAAACGTTTTTCTAAACTCTTTCTTAGTAAAAAAAAAAGATACTGCTAGCAATGTATTATACTATTACTACTGTCAACTACTAGTACTACTGTTAACCAAAATGGCCGCTTTTTCACGTTTGTTTGTTTGTTTTTTATAACTAATATGTTAAGTAATATTAATGTTGACCACTTAAACAACTTTCCTCCAAATAAGTCAGTGAAATTCGCAAAAAGATCGTCCGAGAATAATGAGTGTTTCTTTTCTCTTTTTTCTACTCTTGTCGGCATCGCTGACTCATGCTCTGATTTGAACCGGTTATGCTTTCAGACGATATGGAATCCTGCAGTCATTGGTAAATCAAACCCAGAACGTTGCAACTGTTGAGCAGACGCCTCAGGTGGCACCAAGTGGTCACATCTGAGAAAAGTAAGAACTTGAGCCGCAGAGGTTTTATGTATTATAATAGGGGTGGGGGTGGACGATTTAGCCCAGAGGAAGGGTGTGGTTGTTTAGAAATATTTCGGGGTGAGTGCGTGGCGCTAGAATCCGGGAACCCCTTCCGATGACCAACTAATCAACTGCAACTTTTACAATACAGTAACTAGTAATAGTTGACACTAGAGCTGCCCCCGCTTTGTGTATCGCCGGTCGATAGTATTCTTGCTCGTTGTGTAGCTCTTTGAAATATACCAATTCGTATTGAAGATTTTCACACATATTCCATACAATAGATGAGATTAAATAAAAACAGCAAACGTAAGGTTCCATACACTGTTTCACTTCGATTTACACAGCTTTGATCAAAACATTCGTAGTTTCGAGAATAGTTTATTCTAAACCATAAGAAACTATTTAATTAGAAGTTGGAAGTTTCCGCTATTTCTCCTTCACTTTTTACATACAGTTCATTTTATTTGCGGAAAGCAAGCCTTAGAAATACAAAGCTTTAATGAATTCTGGCTCACGCGTTCTAGTCTTTGTTACTTTAAACTTTATAAAAGGAAATCTGTGAGCTGGGAATAAGTCAGCACAGAATTCGTTTGTCAGCAAATTTCTGTAATCGTCCATCATTCTGCTAGTGATAAGCTACCCGTTGACTCACTCGTCTTGCTTGTTTGCAATTGGGACTGAGTCTTATTCCCCCAAAGAGAGAGAAAGAGTCTCTGGCAACATATTGTTTCCAATCA